AGGGATGGGGACAAGGGTAGAGACAGAAGGGGACAGAAGAGGACAGGAAGGGACAAGAGGAGATGGGGAGGGGAGGGACAGAAAGGGACAGGAGAGGGGAGAGGAGGGGACAGGAATAGGAATAGGGACAGGGATGGGGACGGGAGGGACAGAAGGGACGGGAGGGAGGCAGGAGGCAGCGCAGGGGATGGGGAACAGGAGAGGGGACCGCAGGGGACAGAGGGGCGGAGGGGTGGGGGGGCACAGGAGCACCGGGTCATTCGGCGCCCCCCCCCCCCCCCCCCCCTCACCTGACGCCGCGGCCCGGCGCCGCCCAGCACGTAGGAGCGGCCCAGCAGCCCCTCGCCGATGCCGCCCCCGGAGCTGCGGTAGCCGCGGCTGACGGTGACGGTGGAGGTGGACGAGGACGACGAGGCGGCGGCGCCGCTTTTGTCGGCCGGCTGCCCGCAGGTCCCGCACAGCACCGTGCGGGAGCGCAGGTTGTACTCGGCCGGGTCCGCGGAGCCGCTGCAGCCGGGCTGGGGGCAAACGGGGCGCAGGGGGTCAGAGCCTCCGGGGGGACTGCGCCGCACGGAGCGGCGCCCCATAGCGCCCCATAGCGCCCCATAGCGCCCCATAGCGCCCCATAGCGCCACATAGCGCCCCATAGCGCCCCATAGCGCCACATAGCGCCACATAGCGCCACATAGCGCCCAGCAGTGTGCAGAAGTGCCCCATAGCGCCCCATAGCGCCCCGCAGCGCCCCATAGCGCCCCATAGCGCCCCATAGCGCCACATAGCGCCCAGTAGTGTGCAATAGTGTCCCATAGCGCCCCATAGCGCCCAGTAGTGTGCAATAGTGCTCCATAGCGCCCCACAGCGCCCTATAGCGCCACATAGCGCCCAGCAGTGTGCAACAGTGCCCCATAGCGCCCCACAGTGCCCCATAGTGCTCAGTAGTGTGCAAAAGTGCCCCATAGCGCCCCATAGTGCCCAGCAGTGTGCAACAGTGCCTCATAGAGCCCCATAGCGCCCACAGAGCTCCACAGCGCCCCATAGCACCCAGCAGTGCCCCACAGCGCCCCCTAGTGCCCAGTAGTGTGCAACAGTGCCCCCTAGCGCCCCATAGCGCCCCAAAGCACCCAGCAGTGCCCCATAGCACCCAGTAGTGTGCAACAGAGCCCCATAGCGTCCCATAGCACCCAGTAGTGTGCAACAGAGCACCACAGAGCCCCATAGCACCCCACAGCACCCAGTAGTGCCCCTCTGTGCCCCATTGTGCCCAGCAGTGTGCAACAATGCCTCATAGCACCCCACAGAGCTCCACAGCACCCCATAGTGTGCAGTAGTGCCCCACAGCGCCCCATGGTGCCCAGTAGTGTGCAATAGCACCCCACAGTGCCCCAGAGCACCCAATAGTGCCCTATAGAGCCCCATAGCACCCCATAGTGCCCCGCAGTGCCCCGCTCAGCCGCCCGCAGGCTCTGCACCCGCTGCCGCTCCGTCCCTCACATGGTGGTGGCGGTGATGGACGCTGACTTCGTCGTCCTCCTCATCCTCGTCGTCGTCGTTGATGATGACGGTGCGCACCAGCTTCCGCATGGCCACCTCCTGCACAGCGCAGCGGGGCGGGGGTCAGCGCTGGGGTCGGGGCTGGGGTTGGGATTAGGGC